AACTGGATGTCCCATGCTTAAACCAGCCCCACGGAGACCAGTGGTTTCACTGGTTTGCAACTGGGGCTCAGTCCTGTAGCCACAGGGGAGCTAAAGGCGAATTATATTTTTTATGTGGGCTCTAAAAGAAAGGCTCAAGGCAGCACTGCTTTAAAATCCTGTTTATTGGAACACACATACATCCTTTCCTGCCCCGATCCAGGGTTTGGAGTCCATGCAGTACCAATAATATGACGAAAGAAAGAGGGCATCGATATAAAGGGCTCACCGACTCTTCAAATTAAAAAAATATTTCATACTGTATTAGGCAAATAATACACCAAAAAGACATTGTGACTGTATAGCCTCTCAGATATTGCACTTTCCAGACAGCACATGATAAGTATAAGGTCATTCCAGCCATCAATAAATATCACATCAGAAATAGGGGCCACACAAGGCAAACGTGGCATGAGGAGACGAAGAGATCCTACCCTACGGGAAAGAAATGGGAAGAGTTAAGAGCCTCCTGGATTGATCCCTGCCCATCACTTGGAGGCAGGAGGGGAGAGCATCTCCTCTGCACCTGGAGGGAAGGGATGGGCACGGCATGGGGCGGTGGGTGCCCCTGCTGTACCTCCCTGGGTGCCCAAGGAGGCACCCCTGTCCCGTGGGTGCCAGGTACCGCCCCGGCTGGCAGCGAGCCGATGGGGCGGGTCCAGCCCTTCCCCACGCCCCCCTCCCCCCCGCCGCCCCTCGTGGCCCCCGCCATGCAGGAGCAGCCTCCCCTTGCATGGCATCTGGCAGCACCCCGAAAAGCAGCACCCCAAAACGCAGCACCTCTGGGCAGACAGCTGCTCTCCTTGCCCCCACGATGGCTGGTCCCCACTCCGTCCCATGCAGCGCCAACCCTGGCACTGGTCCCAGCCCCCCCTGGGGGCAGCTCCTTGCCCAGCTGCCCCGGCATGAGGATTTTTATGAGCCTGAATCTTCCTTGGCTCCGAGTCCTTCAGACAGCATCATCCCTGGGGCTTGGGTGAGTCAGTGCATCGGCCCACAGCGTATGGGTGATGTGAACCAGGCAGGAGAAAGGCTTCCAAAATCGCAGCCCACTTTCAGGGCATCTCTGCCGCTCTGCTGGGTTGTACCACACTTCTGCCGGCGATGGAGTGAGCACCCAGCGAGAGCATCCGTAGCCCAGACAGAGCGGGGAGAGGCCTGAGGCGGGCGCCGTGGGGAACCAGGGGGAGCGGTGGGGTGCACAAGTGTAATGGAGAGCATCCTTTTCGGTCCACAGCAGTGAGACTGCAGCGTCTGTTGGTCTGGGCTGAGGAACAGGCGCAGGCTGAGCTCTCATCCTGAAAGGCAGCCAGCATGTGGCCATACGATAGTGGGGATGTGCTAAGAAATGAAGTGGGAAAGGTCCCGTGAGGATGGAGGCTCACCTCCACCCATGCACCCACAGGCCAACAAACCCAGACAGAGTCGGTAACAATTCCTTCCAGCCCAGGGGAACAATTCCGTGGGGCACAGCAGGGTCCCAGGAGACTCTCTGAAGCCCTTGACTTATCCTTCCCTCCCAGTGGGACCCTGCATCTAGGATGGCACCCTGGCCATCTGTCCAGTGACTGGACAAACCATCGGTGGTTGGGATGCTGAGCATCCCTTCTGCAAGGTCCTGTGAGCCTCAGGCAGCAGCGGGCTGTTCCCCCACCGCTGAGGTCTCCGTGGTCCTCCATGGCAAGGCAAACCTGGGTGAAGGCAGACGCCCTGCTTGGGTGACGCTGGGTAGAGGACACTGGGCCTCCTCCTCTCCTCTCCTCTCCTCTCCATCCCCATCCAGCTCCGAGGCCTCCATCCTCCTCGCACTTACCCGGGACCGGGCTGGTTCCCGTCACGCTGACCCTCAGCAGGAGTACGTCCGGACCGTGGAGGTCTCCAGCCTTGGCGACCCAGAGGCACCGACTGGAAGGGAGGCAAAGAGCAGAGCGTGCAATTAGCGACTGCTCCAATTAGCCCTCAGCTAACAACTGAAGCATTTATTAGGCAGCATCTGTGCTCTGAAGCCCCACGAAGATGAGGGTCAAAGGAAGAGGCACGTTTGGCCAGCTCTGATGCTTTGAAGGCTCCAGGGTATTTGGAAAGTTGCCACTTGCCATCGCTCCTCTTGGGCAGCCAGCACCCTGGTGCTGTCAGACCCAGGGATTTTGTCCCAGGTTTCATCGTCCTCATCTGGGTGGGAACTGCAGCTTCCAGGGATGGGGTGGAAAAGTTTGAACAGACATTTGAGTCAAACTGCTGGATGGAAAGCTGTGAAATCCGAGCAAATCTGGAGACAGGAGGAGAGCTGAGCCTGGGGCTTGGAGCCAGAAGGTGAAAGCACAAGTTTCTAATTCTCATTGATACTGTAATTTATGAGCCTGCTGAAGCCAACTCTGCACCTCTGGGGACGTGGCGGGTGGCTTGGGACACCAGGGTCCAGGGGACAAATCAGGGTGACTTGGCTGGAGCTTGTGCCTCCCTACAGCTTTGGAAGGGACCCAGATAACTGATAGAAAGTTGTGTGTGGTGGTGGTGGGGCAGAGCCTGGGACACGTGTGCTCAGATGAAACACACATGACAGTCAGCAGCACTGGGAACAACCGTGTCAAAGCAGGTCCCTGCCCAGCCCTGGGGAGCGCGTGCTGAGCAGCGCTTGGACTGAACGGAGCTGGCTAATCCAGGCCCTTTGGGGATGGTTTCCAAAAGGCAGGATGAAACTGTCCCAGACTGGGCTGCTGCTTCCTGGAAGCCCCCAGTGCCACCCCAACAGCCTCTGATCTGGATGCCAGACCCAGGGTGGGGGACACATATCCCCATTTCATGCCCTGATCCAGCCCTCTCCCTTGTCCTGGTGGTTCCAAGCAAAGAAATCCCATAGAATCATAGAATAGTTTGAGTCGGAAGGGACCACGGAGGTCATCTAGTCCAATGCCCCTGCAGTGAGCAGGGACATCTTCCACTAGATCAGGTTGCCCAGAGCCCCATCCAACCTGACCTTGAACGTTTTCAGGGGCAGGGCAGACCAGACATCACACACCAGACCAGGGTCTGAAATAACCCTGCTGAAAAAACCCTTCCAGCAGCCAGCAGCTCAAGGATCACATGGATTCAGCATCGCAGGCCATCAGCAAGCCTCTCTCGTGCTCTGAGCCATGGTTTAGTGGGTTGGGTGGTGTTGGGTTGACAGTTGGACTTGATGATCCTTGAGGTCTTTTCCAACCTTAATGATTCTGTGATTCTACGATTCTCCTCTCCTGGTGGCACAACATTGTCCAGCCACACCATGAGGTCTGAGGAGAGGACCTTGGTGAGAAGCGGGTGACCTACCTTCCGGGGGCATTTTCTTGGCAGGGGCAGACGGAGGGGGCAGGGGTACCAGGCTGGTGACGCGGAA